AAAACAGAGTGCCAGATGCAAATGGAAGTCCCAAATAAAAGATGCAGTTTTGTTTATCAAGAGACGTTGTCAGCCATTGCATATGTTTTATTTTCTCGTTATGGAAATGCACTGAGCATATACAGCGATTACATTCAATACAGATTTATCATTACAGAACAATAAAGATATGATCAATAGACATTTCCTGTAGCAGAACAGATTGAAGGAACTGATAGAAGCTGAGAACGAAATGAAAAAGACTTAAACCAACTGAGGTGATTTTTGGAGAGGTATTTCAGTCTAAATTAACATTCTCAGCCAAGATCTGCTGCACTGCTGCAATCCTTAACAGCTTCACCAGGCTCGTGCCTAGCAACACAGACCAGAACCGTGGTATCTGAGAGCCCACTGAACACAACCCAAGAACAGCCCCAGCCTGAACCACGACCTACAGGGGATGCTGCAGGATCCAGAACAAGGAGCACAGTAGAACAAGGAGAGAGCTGGGTCTGTGTGACTGCAACAGCTACGAGGCAGGCTAGGGCTGTACTCGAGGTTTCAGTGATTGCTGCACTCAAAGAAGCACTCTAGATTTTGCAACCTTAACAAATGTTTTGTGAATGTGCAGAAATCTAATATACACTGCCTGGAAGTGATGGTTCAACGAATGATACTGAAAAGAAGTCACGGCACAAAGCTAGTGGAAAAAACTACTTTGCCACGTATTTATGAGTTCCATAAATGTGATGACCAAATCTTTTTCCGGCAACTAAAACCAGAGCTCGAAAGACCGCCTCTGCTTCAATGCCACCAGCTGGACTTTAAGCCAGCCCTTTGTGCCAGAGACTAGACCAGATCATCACGGGTGGACATGAGAATCTACACACATCACTCATCTGAGAGTGAACCAAAGGAGGCACCACCCTGCTCTCCAATACCACAGACCCAAGACCCTACCTAGGGCTGTCACATCATGCGTTACACCACTCCTCATCTTGCCTGGTTTCAACATAACGACCCCAAAGGACCATCTGCCTCCTACACAGTGATGCACAAAGCCTTCTCTGATGTGGCATCATTTACTTTCTAAGACTGCGACAAATGGGATTATTAAAGATGTTGATTTGGTTCCTTACATCTCGAAAGATCTCCAAGTCATTTCATCACTGTGCAAAATGAAAAGGGTAATGAAACCACCATGGATCAACTCAAACTCTTAATGATCTAATTGATGGGGGAGTCATATCCTCTTACTTTCAAAGAACAAAGTTTAGGACAGTGAAGAATTAACTACAGACTTGAAACCGCACGAAGAATTTGGATAAACAAAAGCGCTATTACTCAAGTTATAATTTGTCTACAAGACAGGGACTAATTCGTTTCCAAAACCAGTAGCAGAGAGAAAACAAGCAGATCTTTGGAGGGAGCTTACCACATCAAAACAGCTTCCAAGCTCTATTTTTTTGCCTTTCATCAAATCTTGTGGTAAGAGCCCCAAAGGATCAGAAAAGAGAAGACCGGACGGTGGTTTTTTTCCCCAGGAAATACACATAATGTACCTAATTCTCCCAATGAGCTTTTCTTACTAGTTTGTGTTAATGCTAAACCATCTTTATTTCAAGTTTTCTGGCTTTGTCCAGTTTGCAGATGTTTTCTGAAAGACTAATTTGCTCGCTAGAATTTTCAGTCACTTTGTGCTTGAAAATTTTAGCTCGCTTTCGAACGGCTGCCCACAGTAAACAGCAGTTGGAAGATCTTGGTCCTTCACCCGACTACAAGGCTGCTGGCAGCTAAGACTTCTCCTTCTTTTTCTACGTACTGCCTAAACTGAAGGAAAATATTACATATCTGTACAATAAGAACAAGAAGAGGGCAGCTTTTCTTCCATAGAGATCAAGACATTTTTAGCAGATGGAACAATTTTGATCTGAACATCTCCCAGGTCTGCCTACTGCTCTTTGTCTACTGAGAAACATGGTACGTGGAGTAACGCGGTTAGGAAATATAACAATCCTTTTCTACAAAGGCAGGCTTGTTGCTTCAGGATACTGGCTTTGTCCCCATTCTCATGTCAGCTTCAACAGCGGGTGCCACAGCAAAGTAAAGAGCAGGAGACAGAAGTAGCTCGTGGAGGTGGTGACTCTTGAACCCAGGCCTTTGGCATTGCAGTTGCTCGAGTAGCAGCAGTGAACGCTCACTCCGGGCGCCCTGGACCCGTCCCTCTTTGCCCGCTCGCAGAAGGACCTGAACGAACAGGACTTCATAACGCCACCTGCAACAGAGCCACATTGAGCCCAGGACCAGCACGTCCACGGTCACCCGTCCCTGTCTGCATCCCCTCTGCATCCCCTGACCAGCCAATACTCAGAGAATCACAATCGTTATGGTTGGAAAAGACCTTTAAGATCACCAAGTCCAACCACTGTCTAACTCTGCCATGCCCGCTTCTAAACCATGGCCCTGAGCACCATATCTGGATGGGTTTTAAACACATCCAAGGATGGTGACTCTACCACTTCCCTGGGCAGCCTATGCCAGGCTTTGATATCCCTTCCAGTGTAGGAGTTTTTCCTAATGTTTAACCTAAACTTCCCCTGGTGTAACTTGAGGCCATTTCCTCTTGTCCCATCGGTTGCAACTTGTGAGAAGAGACCCACACCCACCTCTCTACCCCCTCCTTTCAGGAAGTTGTAGAGAGTGTTAAGGTTTCTCTCCCCTTCAGCCTCCTTTTCTTCAGACTAAACAACCCCAAGTCCCTCAGCCGTTCCTCATAAGACTTCTTCCTTCACCAGCTTTGTTGCCCTTCATTGGACACTCTCCAGCACCTCAGTGTCTTTCTTCCACTGCGGTGCCCAAAATTGAACCCAGTACTCAAGGTGCAGCCTGATCTGTGCCGTTTATGGTGGGACAACCACTCTTCTGGCCCTGCTGGCTATACTATTCCTGATGCCTTTCCCTGGGCACACTGCTGGCTCATGTTACATTTCTCCCTGTAAGCTTTCTAATATCACAACACTGAGCAGCAACATCAGGTTTGGCTGCTCCTTACAAGTAAATGAATACAATTACATCAGATCACAGCCCACAAACAAGCTCCCACTTGAGTGAAATAACTGCAATTTATCTTAGATGCAACTGATGTAGCTTAAATATCTCTGACATGCTCAAGTGTGGTGCCTCTTTAGCTTCTCTTCCTTCCTAATTTCCAGGTAAGTCATTTAACTAAAAAATGACAGATCTAACTAAGAAGCAGGCAATCCTTAAAACACATTTTTACAGCTTTCACACAGTGTGGACAGGGCTCATCGTGGTGGTGTAGGAGCAGTTTGTGAGTACTCACTGGCTTGTCCTCTGATGATCGCACACGCGTCCGAGTGCCCGGGACACTGCTGGGTTCCCTGCCTGTTGCAGTCCTCATCGCTGGAGCCCACGCAGGTGTAACACTGCAGCGCTTCGCCTGGCACGGGGAGAAGAAACAACACTCGTAACAGGGCTGGGTAGCGTTCACAAAAAGTATTCTAAAATAGCAGCTACGCACTCCTTCTATTCTCGTTCGAAGCACAAATTGCAAAAAGGTTTAAAAATATCTAGTTTTTGCAAATCCTATCAATTTTTCTTGTACGAGAAGTGGTCTGGGTACTGATTTCAAAGGTATTTTTAAAAGCCATTTATTATGATGTTTTAACTATTTGCACTTAAAATAATCCAGGAATATCTGATGAATCTGTAATTCCATCCACACCTTCCTGCAACATTTTCAGAGCAGAGTCCAGTGGAACAAGTTAGAATATCCTTTTTCTTACCTTCTCCATCATGATCTTTGGTCCACAGTACCATGAAAAAGTATATTGCAAACACACAACATCTTCCTACGATTCATATCTCATTTTCTCCTAAAGCAACAATCCAGCAGGAAGGCACAACACTATCTCTTAAGAATTCTGCTTTTGTTTCAACACTGTATAATAAATTAAGCACTATATACTGTATTTTCAAAGTCGAGCATGAATTTGAAATATATTTAAAATGCCGTACTTCAAACTTGCAGAGCAGGCAGGGACACGTGCATTTAAATTCGTTAGCACACATTTATGTTTACATTACACAGCAGAGGTGAGATTCCACGTACACAAGATAATCTGAAACCACACAAACAAGAGAGAAGCCCAGAAGAGCAAAGAGTCTGAGCCATACCCGACATAGGAAATGAAAAATCAATTACAAAAGGACAGAGAAGGGAGCTGACTTACTTTTGAGTACAAAAAGGGAGCTGACCAGAACCAGGCTGAAGACTGTCCACATCGTGGGGATACCGGAGCTGCACCATTAGCCAAGGAAAGCAGTTTGTTTGCTATTAAAGCCTTAATGCTTATCTTACATACCTAATCCTCTGCAGGGGATAACTTATGGGATAAAGAGGTGTGCGAGAATGCTACTTATCTAGCTTACTCTGGTTGTACTACTAATCACACGTACCTCATGTCCGCAAACCCTGCAGGAAAATTCATCCAGAAGCAAATGTGTTCACCTTTCCGTGGCAGATACTGCCTAAAACCCAGCACCCATCACCACCCCCGACTCCTGCAAAGTCTCATTACATTTGCCTGGTGATTTGCTGGAGCAGGGTCAGGGTCTTAAACATTTTTGAAGACTAAGCCTATGCTTGGGACACGAACAGTCCAAATCTAGCATATATACCTATATATAGACATAGCTATGTGCACATAAGCAGGATATTGTGGCCCACGGAGCGCTCCAAGCAGTGACCCATGAAGTAAGCAAGAGAAGTACATAAAACAGAGCCATACTTATCTTCAACTTTCAACGAAAAAATTTATTTACAATAGAGAATTTCATTTAAGTGACATGCATTTTCGGGTACGATTTTTTTTTTCATTTTTCATTTTATTTTACAAATCAGCAAATGCAGATAAAGTTTACACTCCTTAAGGCAAGAGTCCCCATGCAAGTAATACATGTTTATATTAAATCCAAAAGACATCCAACATGGGAACTCATGTACAAAGGGAAGGCTAGGATCAGCAATTTGTAATTTTTTAGAGAATTTGACAATCTCCCTGATACAGGAACTTTGAGATCAACTTGCTATGAATTATACTATGAAAATGCAAACAATAGCAAGAAATTCTGATAGTCATCTTAGTACTGCATACAGTTAAATCAACTTTATTTAGAAAGAAAATACAGTAGTGCATACGAAAAGTGAAAATATAACCTGTCCACATAAATGTATGGACATCAGTGTGCCAATGGTCATATTGCACTCAATATCGAAGTCCAGAAATTTGGTTAAAAGTTAGCTTTTCCCCATTTTGGCAATGAGTTCATCACAAATCTTTGTTAATTCTTCTATCTCTTTATTCTGGAAAAGAAAAGGCAGTATTAAGTCTTAGGAAAAATCTTGTTGCATTAAGATGAGAGTGGGTTTTTTTAAATTATCCAACCTTTGGGAGAAGTGTGGGACAATTAAGTTCTCTTGAATACTGAGAACAGAGTATCTATATGTATACAGATATACAGATATATGCATATGTATATAGAGAGTGATATATGCATACAGAGAGATATATGCATACATATATATGCATACATAGCACAGCTACATACAATGAATTCAATCAATACACTTACTTATTTCCACATACAGCTCCTCCAACAATAAGTACCATTCAGCACTAAAGCAGAGAGCTTTACAGCAGTCACTCCTAGCACATCATAATAACACATGGTGTAAATATGTTTCTAGGCTGCACTATCAGTATTTTCACCCTCTTTTCCAAGGGCTCCAAGCAAGGATGAGCTGTGCTCACTGCAAGCTCCTTTGCTGGGCTGGAGAACATGGGATATAAACAGAGATTTCCTGCAGTCACTGTTGCCCTGAACTGTACAGATTGGTATCTGATCGTTTTGCCTCTGTTAGCAGTGGAGAGGCGTAAGCTAGCCTTGGAATTACAGCTAAAACTAAAATTGGAAACAAAAACTGGAAGAACTAGAGCAGAAAGATCTTAAACCCAGGAACTAAGACAAACCAAGGGCCCTGCTTGGTACACAGCTCTGACCCAGTCTGAATCCAGCCCTGGCAAATGGGTCCATCTGCTTGCACTGCCCAATGCACACAGCTGGTTTTGTTACAAGGGTTGGGAAACTCTGCCCTCCCTGGGGCCAGCTGGGTGTGAGGAGCTGGAGAGGTCCTTGAGTGGACCTTGGCTATGGTCTGTGCTCTCCAGAGAGCTGGATGCAGGGAGGTGGTGGAGTCTCCATCCCTGGAGGTGTTCAAGAAGCACCTGGATGTGGCACGTGGGGACATGGTTTAGTGGCCATGGTGGGGTTGGGTTGACGGTTGGACTTGGTGATCTTAGAGGTCTTTTCCAACCTTAATGATTCTAAGGTTTGACTTAACTTTGGTCATCCCGTTGACTTCTGCATTAACAGAGCCGAGTCGCTGCTTACCTTTTGTTCCAGTGTCCTTTCCAAAGCATCCACTTTCAGCTGCTCTTTCCGAAGGCTGGCCTGATACGCCGCTTGCTCCTGCTGCGCCTTGCCTCTCACTTGTGCAATTTCAGCATTGGCTCTAGAAAAACACAGATTTTTGTCACGTCAGATTCTCTACAGGAAAGGACAGTGGGTACAGAAGGATGGGCTGCATCTTAACAGATTGGTGATGAGAAAAAAAAGAAATGTAAAAAATCAACCAGAGCTGTCTCTCTTAAGCCACAATCTGATGTTCACTCCTTGGCTTATGTCTGTGCACATCTGGCACTATCTTTTGTGCAACTGTTCCCCATCGCTCTCAGCACAAGTTGGGCTGATCCAGCTTAGATATCTGGTGTTACTGGGGAGAGACTGCCTGACTGGTGCTGCACTGAAGCAGCTGAGCAGCACCTACACATCCCGTTCTGCTGATGGACACAGGGGCAACACAAATCTCCAGGGGCAGGAATATTGCCTGCAGGTGCAAACATCTGAGCATAGCCCTCCATAGCTGCATAAACCTAGCTAATGGCTTTTTTCTTGACCTTCCCTGGAAAATACATTATAGAAACACGAAAATATTTGACAAAGATAGACATTTAAGGTGTTTTACGTGGTCAGGAGCTGGAAGAAACACCAGCACGTTACAGAAATTCTCATTATGGCAATTAATTCCCCCCTCCATCACTGAGCAGCCTCTGCTCTGCATACTGAAGGAGGAGGCTTGGGATGCAAAGTCCATCCTCCTGCAGCACGAACTCCTGAAAAGAGATGTCTACAACCAATTACCTGTCCAGTTTTTCCTCAGCGTGAATTTTGAGTGCTTGATACCTCTGCTCTTCCTTCTTGACACGTGATAAATATTCCTGCGCGCATTTCTTTAACACTTCTTCATTCTGAAAGGCGAAGATTACATTCGATTTAACCCAAGAGGTTGAAGTGTAGGACAGACACCCATTTTGGGAGCCACATTAGGATGTTTCAAGGGCTGCCCGCAGCACACAACATCAATAACGTGGGCAGGAGGGGACTGAACGTGACCCACCTTCCGAAACCCCTCCAGAACTTCTTTCATCTTCTCGTATCTCCTGAAGAGATCTGCCAGTGATTTCTCCACCGAGTTCAGATCGGCCAACGCTTGCTCCTTCTCCACAATCAGCTGCTGGACAGTGTGATGGGAGACAGATTTCTCTCTCTGTTCATCCTCTGTTAGAAAGAAGAGAGGGGGAGAACAAAAAAGACATTCTCAGAATGGTAACAGTAGTAAAAACTTTGATTTCACTATCATCTATAGTTTCTACTACACTTTGCTCTATGTTGTGTATTAGTAAGTTTGCAGGATCCAGGAAAGTCATTTTTACATAAAGACACAATCCTGTTTTGGAAAAAGGTTGCTAAATATAGTGAGAGTTAAAATACTTTTATGTTGGGGGAAAATGCAAATATATCTCTGTACTGGTGATTTCTTTCACTCTGAACTCGGCTGTTGCCATGAAAAAGGCAGGGTTTGGATTGCCCTTGTTTGCCTGCAGACACACGAGCTACAGAAAGGACACTAATGCATATTACTAGCACTGGCAATAAGTTATTTGCCATTGCTGATACGCGCTTGTCATCTCCTGGCATCTCTTCTAATCCTGTACAAACAAGGTACTTTGTTTAACGAAATTCAACTCAAATTCTTCCCCTGGAAAAACAGTGTTTTGCAAACTCTCATTCTCAGGATTGCTGCAGCCAGTGCCAGAAAGGAAACATTACATTAGATAGGCTTTCTAAGGTCTGGTCTGCAGGAAACATCTCCCAGGCTTCCCCTGTGTGTGGTTAAATGTGAGGCAGGGGTGGTGGGAAGAACACAACAGGAGCCCAAATCCATCTGGAAAAGAAATTTTTAAAGGAATTTACTTAGTACTAAATTGGAATACCCAAATAACCTTAAGAAAAGGTCTGGCACTGTCTTCCAAAATGCTTCACACCCTAAAATACGGTTCTTGTGCCAATGTTTTAAGGGCTACCTTGAATGATACTGAAATTAAAACCAGCCTGCAGAACACAGCAGCTTTATATTGCTGTTTTCCTTTGTCTATGATGGAAACTAAAATAAGGTAAGAATATAAATAT